GGTGGGGGTGGGGGTGGGAAAGAGCCCAGCTTCTCCAAGTCTCTTAGGGAAGCGGCCTCCTTGCATTCTTGACTCTCTGCTGCCCCCGTGTGGCTGTGAGGTTGGTTGAAGCCACATAGCAGTAGAGGGGCGTGTGTGTGTGTGTGTGTGTGTGTGTGTGTTGGAGCGTGGGTTGGGGGAGGGCTCAGCAAGACAGGAGCTGAGGCAGAATCACAGAGAGATGGCCCTTATCTCTACTCCCACCGCCTAATATGCAACATTAGGGCAGCTACGATACCAGCTTTGGAATATTCGCCTATCAAGAAATGGAAAGAAGCTGGGCGCGGTGGCTCGTGCCTGTAATCCCAGCACTTTGGGAGGCCGAAGCAGGTGGATTACTTGAGGTCAGGAGTTCAAGACCAGCCTGGCCAACATGGTGAAACCCCATCTCTACTAAAAATACAAAATTAGCCGGGTGAGTGGCACATGCCTGTAATCCCAGCTACTCGGGAGCCTGAGGCAGGAGAATTGCTTGAACCTGGGAGGTGGAGGTTGCAGTGAACCTAGATCGCACCACCGCAGTCCAGCCTGGGTGACAATGAGACTCCGTCTCAAAAAAAAAAGAAGTGGAAAGAAAAGATGGGGTGATACTCATCGGCAAGGGGGTGCAGGACAGCTGGGTCTCCTCTGACCAAGGGGGCAAGTTCCCCCTGCTGAGCTGCCTGAAATACCATACCCAGCTTGGCCTGCAGCATCCTGGCTGGGTGGACCCAAAAAGCCACCTAGAAAGTGGGAAAAGGAACAGAGGAACAGATATGGAAGGAAATAGAGTCTATCCATTCCCGTTTTGTAGTCAATCCTTGAACATCACTGGCTGCAAGCCAGATACCCCGTGGGTCAACGCCAGGCACCTGAAACAGGGGCTGCAGGTCTCTCGCTCAGACTATTGTGTTGGCAGAGCCCAGGTCGATGGGGTCAGAGGGTTCTTGGAGGTTATTTTCATGCAGGGGTCTTCAGATGTGGGCATGCTCCAGAATCATGCAGGAGGGTGTTCAAATGCCCACCAGCATCTGAGAACAGCTGATCTTGTCTATTGGTCTCCTTCTGTGGTTGAGGAAACTGAGGCCTGGGGGGTCTGGATGATGGTGACTGCTGAAGGCCATAGCAGGTTCAAGGGTGTCAACTTTATACCAATCCCCCTAGTCCCACAGATTGGTCTGTCAATATGGCCACAAGCCACACCCATTCAGGGGGTGGAGGGGGGCTCCTTGGTGAGTCCCTGGAGGTGTTGGGAAGGTGCACAGGCAGTCTCTCCCCTACATCCTTTCTGCATCCTGCAGCAGAGCAGTCACCAGGCTGATGACCTGCGAGGCTGGCTGGACTGTGTCATACTCCGCAAATAGGTGGCACACGTTCTCCTGAGGCTCTGTCTGGCTCTTGGCCACAAACCCAAAGATCCTGGTGGGGAAGGGCAGTCTGAGTGAGGGGTGGGACCCAGGGAGGCATCAGGCTGGTGGGAATGGGGTGGTGGGGGGCCCTCAGCCTGCACCTCATTCCTCCCTGCCCCTCCCTTAGCCAATTGGCTCCAGCACCTCCTTAAGATGGGGCTCCCTGAGAAAGAAGGTGCCTCTCCTGTCAGACTGGGAGATTTCCAAGTTCAAGCTCTGGGTTTCGTTTGTTTTGAGTGGGGGCTCCTTGAGGACAGGACCTGTGCATTCCCCATTAGAGTGGAAGCTCCCTGAGGGCAAAGATGCATCTTGATCATCAGACTGGGACATTCCAATAGCTTGAGGCTCCCTGAAGTTAGAGCCTGTACCTCTTGCAGAAGATTGAGGGCTCCCAGGCTCATGTCGCCTCTATCAGCCCAGAGGCTCTGAGGGCAGTGAAAGTCTTTCCCATCAGATGCGAGCTCCCTGAGGACCAGGGCCTGTGCCCTCATCAACACCTTGGACTATTAAAGTCAGAATGGGGCCTCTTTCCTTCTCTAGTTCCCTCCCCATGTTGGGTTTGGGGCCCTGAGACAGGGACCCCTCTTTGGTAACAGAGTAGACAGGAAGGCCTTACCAGGAGGGCTTGCAGTACTTCTGCCACCTGTAGGAAAAGAACACGATACCGAGTAATGAGGCTTTGCTCCATGCCACAGAACCCTGAAGGAGCCGCAGGACTGGCCAGCTGTGTCCCTGCCCCAGCACACCCCACCCTACCCTCATTCTGTCACCCTGACCCCTTGAGGTTCACAGGCTCCCTCTGGGATCCCAGTCCCAGAGTCGTCAGGACACCTTGGTGGGCAGCTGGGCCCTGGACGGCCTTCTTAGTTTGGCCCAGCCTTGAACTTACTTCCGTTGCTCAGGGTCCATACCACAGAAGCGGAGGGTAGTGAGGGGGTAATGGCGCCGGAAAAACACCCTAGGAGGTGGTGGGGAGAGAAGGGAAGCGATGAGAACCTGTCCCAGTGTCACCCTGCCTCCAGCATCTCTTGTTCCCCCCAAGCTCAGGTGCCCTGTCCTCCAAGAAGTCTCTGGGTTAGACCTCGACGACCGCTACGGCTTTTCCCACTGGGGGGTCCTGGTGCCCTGCTCCTGCCTCTCTCCTCTCATGGGACTTGTCTGCCTGTGTCTTATACTCTGGGGTTTTCTTTCATACCCCTACCATGCCATTTAACTTTTTTTTGGTCCCCTAACTTTTTGAGGACACGAATTACATCTTGGTCATCTCTTGTTTCTCCCTGTGAAGTGCTCAGCCCTGGATCAGGCTCCTGTTAGACTGTGAGATCCCGAGCCTGGGGAAGGGACGATCTCATTTCTCTCCGGGTCCCAATGTCAGCCAGAGTCTGGCCTAGGGAAGATGTTCCATCAATGGGCGCAGACATCATCAGCACCCATGAATACTAGTTAACTCCATTTTCCTTCTTTTTTTTTTTTTTTTTTTTTTGAGGTGGTGTTTCACTCTGTCACCCAGGCTGGAGTGCAGTGGGGCGATCTCAGCTCACGGCACCCTCCGCCTCCTGGGTTCAAGCGATTCTCCTGCCTCAGCCTCCCAAGTAGCTGGGATTACAGGTGTGCGCCACCACACCCGGCTAATTTTGTATATTTAGTAGAGACGAGGTTTCACCATGTTGACCAGGCTGGTCTCGAACTCCTGACCTCAGGTGATCCACCCGCCTCGGCCTCCCAAAGTGCTGGGATTACAAGCATGAACCACCACGCCCGGCCTCCGTTAACTCCATTTTCATCAGTCACGATAAACTGGGGCTTTGGCAGTGGATTGAGGCCTGGAGGAGGCAGGGAAGTTGCCTGGAGTCACTCAGCACATCACTGGCCCCGCTGGGTCATCCAGGACCCTAAACTTGACCTTCATCCCTGATCCGTGACTGTCTCAGCTATCCCCTCCAGCTCTACGCCGCCAGCCCTGCAGCCCTAGGGCAAGGGAAGGCCCTTACTTCCTCTGGACATCCGTCAGGGTGATGCCCTGCTCTGTGACTTTGAAGTGGACCACGGTGGGTGTGGGGAGGACGTCCCTCTCAAAGGTGGTGGAGATGGCCTTCTGCACGGCCAGGGCTCCGGTCAGGGTCTCCACGCTCACTGAGCTCAGGTACAGGGTGTGGCAGCCTGTGGGAGGCAGACACTGTGCTGGGCCACTGACCCAGGCCCAGGGGAGGGGGTGAGTCTCCTGTTCAGGAATCCAGTGGAGCTCCTCTTAGAGCCACCCAACAGGAAGTGGGTGTGTGGGTGATCACAGTCTGAGGCCAACCCCAGAGGGCTTTGGGATCTTCTGTGGCTTTGCATCGCCCTGGCTCCTGGCCCTCCAGCATGGGGCAGGGGAGGGGAAGTTGCCCTGTGTGTAGGGGTGCCCAGGAAAACATCCTTCTGTCCACACTTAACGACTGCCCTCCTCCCCACACCTCTACCCTCAAGGTCTTGGTTCATTGGCGACAGAAGGGACAGAAGACAAGAATGGGGAGGGAAGCCGTTCGTGCTCCGGGCATAGAGCAGGAGCTGTCACTGAGACAAGTGCTGATGTGTGCTGGCCTCTGGGAGTGTGGGTCAGGGACCTTTTCCCTGGTGAGGGCTAGAGGACTCAGACCTGACACCCCATAGAGGATCCCAAACCTGGAAACACCGCCAGGGCAGGCTCCTCAGACCCAGAGAGACTCTAGCACATGTGCACGTGCCCGTGTGCGTGCCGGAGAGACTGCAAGTTCTGCCACCCCACCACCCCCAACCCCACCCCACTTCCCTGCTGGCCTCTCATCTTGTTTTACAGGGGTGACGGGGGAGGGGGGGGTGGCACCTTGTTAAAGATGCACAAATGAAGCTGAGATGGGAAACACGTGTGGGCCTGTGCGTGTATGCGTGTGTGCGTGCATGCGTGCGTATGGGCAGGGTCAGGAGGTGCCCTCTTGGGGCACAGCCAAGCTTGGCATCTCCTGTCCTGTACCACTCACCTGCAGATTTCCTCTGGCAGGAGGCTGGGCTGTCTGTAGAGTCCGAGGCCCCATCTGCACCTCCCAGTTCTGAGCCAAGGCAAAGAAACAGGCCCCCCAAAGGGGCGGGGGTGGAGTGAATGGACCCCTCTCACGGGAACAGGCCTCATGAATCCCTTTGAAGATCTCCCACCTCCACCCCCATCTCCAGGAAGTGACTCAAACCAGGTGTGATTACCGTAATTAGGCAAACAGGCCACTTTGGGCTCCCTAAATGCTTAGTTTGCAACCCTTTTGATCTCTTCTTCCCCTCCTCGCCCCCCTACCTCTTAGATGGCTGCCATGATCTTGTCCTCACAGGCCCCTGACCTCCTCACTTCTTTTGGACCCTGTTGGCTCTCACCAACGCTCCTCTGGGACTCCCCTGCGCCGATGCCCTTCTCGAGGTTCTCGTGCATACCTTTGAGATGCTCTGTTCCATCTGAGCTGTCCCCCTACCTGGCTGTACGCTCTGGATAGGGCATGCTGATCTGAGTTCAAGGTCTGACTCTGCGGGCCTTTGGGCAAATTACTTAACATCTAGAACCGAATCCTTCCCTTCCCTTCCCTTCCTTGCTCTTTCTTTCTTTCTTTTTTTTTTTTGATGAAGTCTCGCTCTGTTGCCCAGGCTAGAGTGCAGTGGCGTGATTTTGGCTCACTGCAACCTCTGCCTCCTGGGCTCAAGTGATTCTCCTGCCTCAGCTTCCCAAGTAGCTGGGATTACAGCCACCCACCATTACGTCCGGCTAATTTTTTGTATTTTTAGTAGAGACGGAGTTTCACCATGTTGGTCAGGCTGGTCTCGAACTCCTGACCTTAAGTGATCCCCCTGCCTCGGCTTCCCAAAGTGCTGGGATTACAGGCGTGAGTCACCGTGCCCAGCCCTTATTTTCTTATCTGTGAAATGGGGATGATAACAGCAAAGTCTGCTTCACAAACTTGTAGTGAAGCATGAATGGGTGAGTGAGTGCTCAACAAATATTGGACCCAGAAAAAGAAAACCTCTCCAAACTATTTGATTTAGGCTCTTTCATCCTCTCAAAGCAGGCTGCTATTTATCCAACATCCATTCTATGCCAGGCATTGCGCTAAGAGCCTTGCCTGAGCTATCTCATTTAGTCTGCACAGCAATCCTATAAGTGGGTACCATGATGATTGTCCCCATTTTATAGATGAGGAAACTGAGGCTCAGAGAGGTCAACATTCTTAAATTTTCATAGCTAGGAGGTGGAGATGTTGAATGACTCCAGTACACGCAATTTTAACCGTGACACTAAAATAATCCACCAACAAGGTAGAAACGAACCCCATTTCTAGTGAGAACAAACAGGTCCCCCACCTTGGCATTCCCTCTTTGGGGCCCAGACCCACCTCTCTGCGGGATGGTGAGTTTGCAGGGCAGGGCCAGGGCCATGATGGAATGCTGGCACACGAAGGCAGAGAGGCTCCCTGAAAGGAAGCAAGCAGCCCTGCATGAGTAGAGCTTCCCTAGCCCACCCCACAGTTCAGAACAGAGACTTCGCTGGGCCCCTATCCCTGGGGAGCCTGGAGGCTGGGGAATCTCACCAAAGTAGGGCTCCTCATCGGCTCCTTTGAGATGCACTCCTTTGGCAGAAGACTCGATGAGGAAGTGTCGAATAAGGTCATTGCTGTCCTCGCCTGGATAGAGAAAGAAGAAAGTGCATTCGGATAGAATTCCACCTTGTGGCTGGGCGCAGTGGCTCACGCCTATAATCCCAGCACTTTGGGGGGCTGAGGCGGGTGGGTCACTTGAGGTCAGGAGTTCGAGATCAGCCTGACTGACGTGGTAAAACCCCGTCTCTATTAAAGATTAAAAAAAAAAAAAGCCGGGCGTGTTTCACACGCCTGTAGTCCCAGCTACTCGGGAGGCTGAGGCAGGAGAATCGCTTGAACCTGGGAGGCAGAGGTTGCAGTGAGCCAAGATTGTGTCACTGCACTCCAGCCTGGGTGACAGAGTGAGACTCCGTCTCACCGGAAAAAAAAAAAAATGCCACCTTGTCCATCCCCCTGCCTCTCACTCCCACAGAGGAGGTGCCAACACATCTGCTCAATGACTCCAGCCACACCCTCTTCAGAAAACCTTTCTCTTCTTCTTTTTTTGGGGGTGGGGTGGGGAAACCTTTCTGTTGCTCAAGAGTTACCAGGGATTTTTTTGTTGTTGTTAGACATTGTCCTGCTCTGTCTCTCAGGCTGGAAGTGCAGTGGCGTGATCTTAGCTTATTTGCCTCAACCTCCTGGGCTTAAGGAATCCTCCCACCTCAGCTTCCTGAGTAGCTGGGACTACAGGTGTGCCCCACTACGGTCTGGCTAATTCTTCTGTAGAGACAAGGTCTCACTGTTTTGCTCAGGCTGGTCTCACCTCCTGAGCTCAAGCGGTTCTCCTGCCTGGGCCTCTCAAAATGTTGGGATTACAGGTGTGAGACACAGAGAGGCCTAGGGAACTTTTTTTTTAAATTTATTATTATTTTTTTAGACAGGGTCTTATTCTTTGGTCCAGGCAGGAGTGCAGTGGTGTGATCATGGCTCACTGCAGCCTCAAAGACCTCCTGGGTTCAAGCAATTCTCCTGCTTCAGCCTCCCAAGAACCTGGGACTACAGGTGTGCTCCACCACACCTGGGTAATTTTTGTAGAGACAGGGTTTTGCTATGTTGCTCAAGCTGGTCTCAGACTCCTGGGCTCAAGCAATCATCCTGCCTCGGCCTCCCAAAGTGCTAGGATTACTAGCGTGAGCCACTGTGCCTGGCAAGGACACTTCTTAATTATTGTATAGATAAATGTTGACTCTTTGCTCTGGTTTCTGTCTCCTCCTGCCCACCAGGTCATCTTTGCTGGAGCCACGCTGGCCCTGGGCGTGGCAGGGGGGCGGGGGGCTGGGGGAGGCGAACAATGACCTTCTGACTCCTTTCCGCCAATCCACAGCGTTCTCCTCAGTCTGGGTTCATTGCCTCTTGCAAGGTGTCCTTTAGAAGCAACACCCTCCTCAGAGGTCACTTTCTTATTGTGACAGTGAGGCGTACTGTCAAGAACACAAGGCTGGGTGTTTCATCCTCCCTTTATCACTTAATTGCTCTGGGGTCATTAAGTAACTCTGGGAGCCTCCATTACCTCATCCATTAAATAAGAAGGTGCAATCCTGGGGTTTGAGTGAGGCCTATGACCCAGGTACTTTGCGTTGTAATCATGTTTTCGTCTGTCTCCCTGGTGAGGTGGCGTCTGGGTCTGATTCCTCTGTATCCCTGCAGCCTCACACAGTGCCTGGTGTGTGGCGGATGCCCTGTGGATGTTTGCTATCAAATGAGCGTGGGAGACCACAGGAAAGCATGTGATAAGAGCTATCACACACACGTGTGCTGAGCTCATACACACACGTGGTAAGCTATCACCCGTGAGATAAGCTAGCTACGCATATAATCACACATTAGGTTCCCTGGAAATGAATCCAGTTTGACTCCAAAGAGAGCAGCCTAGAGGGGGGCTGGGACCCTCCTCCTTCTCTCCCACCGGGAGGAAAAAGCAGGGAACTGGGGGCGGGGCTCGGGAAGGCAGAAGCACTCAGGCTTGCTGTGAAAGGCAGTTTTCAGGGTGCCTTGGGGCTGGAGGGCATTGGAGAGAGTACTGGAGTGGACACTTCTCCTAGGTGCTGTTTTAAGACTGGTGCCATGTCACCCTGAAAGCTAATGCCAGAGCCAGGACTGGAAGCCACCACACCCCGCTGCCTCCGTGAGACTTTGAGCGAGCACAGAGACAGATGCATACCTGGTCGATTCTGGGCAGATGGGGGAACCTCCTGGACCTTCAGGGCCAGGCCGAAGGAGCCTCGGTATGAAGAGCTGTCCCTTATGACAAAAGCCCCTGGCTCCTCCTTCCTCAGCAGCTCGATTGCTGGAACAATCCTTGAGTCAGAGATGGACACCGCCCCACCTGGACACCCTCTGTCCCCCTCTGTCCCCCTCTGTCCCCCGTAACAGAGCAGATGTTACAGAGTCACCTTTTGTCCCCAGGAAGTTCTTTCTACTGTCAAATCTCCACCACTCTTGCTGTGGTTCCTACTTCCTTGGGAGGTTATGAGGTCAGCAGGACATCCCCCTCCCCTGCTTCCCTGGACCCACTATTTGCCATTGCTTAACTGTAACCCAGGGCCCTGCCTGATGCAAAGTGCAAGACCCAGATCCGATTCTGGGGTCGCTCATGCTTCCTTTTACCTTGCTCTCGGGTGATGTTTGGCTTAAACCAGTATTTAGATGTGTCCATCACGAACTTCATGGTGGGCTGCATGTCCCTGGTGGGACCTGGAGACAGACAGAGAAGGGGGACCCTGTAGGCTGGACAGATGGGAGCTGAGGGATGTTCACCAGAGAAGGCTGGAGACCCTTCCCTATTCTATTGCTCCAAGGTCTCATTCGACCACCATCCCAGACCCTAACTCCATTGTATCTCCAAACTGCCTACGAGAGGGAAAATCAAACAGAAGGATGCCACGGTTTGGTGCATCTAGAACTCAGAAGTGCCCTTGTATCCTTGGTAATGAATAAAAAAATGAATAGATACAACCTTAGTTTAAGGAGAAATGGTTTCTCAAATCTAGTGTTGAGTCCCCTGGTGAGGACTGAAATAAGAGATAAACAAGGAATTCTCAGATGCTTCCTGTTTGATATCACATTCTCCTCCGTCTTCATAATCCTAAGAATTCCTCAGGGGAATATTCAGCTTGGAAAAGAAAATGGCAGAAAACGTGAAGGAGAGGAAAATAGCAGATCCGGGCAGAAAAACATGCCCCTGGGAGGTGGGAGGCTGGGTCTTGACTCTGATATGGGATAACCGAAGCTCAGAGGGAACCAAGTGGACTAAACAACTTCTGAGGGTCTTTAATGTTCCAGTTGCCTATGAAATTAAAATGAATGTTGTTTTGAGAATATTTTGCAGAATTTGAGAAGATCTGGGGGGTACAGTTAGTGATATTATGGGACCAAAGCAGGATGGGAATATCACTAGGCTAAGTAAATGTACTCTTTGAGATGCCAAAATGGCCATTTCTCTGGGTCCCTAAGGCAGAGAGCAGTAGCTGTCAACCTTGGCGGCTTGAAAAGGAGTGTTGCGACCAGTTACTCTCAAGTAACTCATTAAAAAAAGGTACTGAAATCTGCAACTGATTCGTCCTAGGAAATCGATCAGGGCAGATGCAAAGGCATGCTGGAAGTGTCATTTTCTCCTGCTTGCCTCCACATGGCTTTGTGAGTGGGAGTGAGCAGTGGGCTATAGTAAACATTTCACCCCACTCCCCCAGAGTTGCCTTGATGCCTGTGAATGTCATGGCCAAGTGGGGGCTGAGAAGCCCTCCGATGGCCGAGGGAGGGGGAACAGGGGGTTGGCAGGGGACTCTGCTCATGGGAGAGGCATCCAGAGGGTGCTAGAGCTTAGCTTCTGTGTTTACTGCCGTAGATTCTGGTTGATTTTGTTCTCCTTGGACGCCTGTGGTCTCAGACTCCGGGAAGGAGGCTGTTTGCTGTTTTGTGGTTTTCAGCTGTCTGAACTGGAATGCATTGTCTCTATTGCCCCATCCACCCCCTCTGCGTTCTCGTCATCCATGAACGTCAGAGTCAGAACTGACTCGCCCTCTTGCTCTCCTTAAGTTAGTCATCAAGCACATCCTGAGGGTCGCCTGGCTCTGTCCTCTCTCCTCCACCCCCACTGCCCCACCCCGGTTCAGGCCCCTGCTATTCGTTGAGCTGCCAGGGTGATCCATTGAGTGTGCACCTCTGACCCCATCACTTTTCTGTGTGAGGCTCACTGATGGTACCCCATTGCTTAAAAGGCAAATTCCATTTTTCTTTCTTTTTTTTTTTTTTTTAGTTTGGCATTGAAGGCCTTTCACAATCTGGCTTCAAATTACTCTCAATGACCTGAACCTGCACCCAACATTCCGGCATTTCCTGAACATGCCATGTGCTTCCACACCTTCCCGACTGTGGACTCCCTGCTCTCTCTGCTGGGAAAGCCTTTCCTCTGCTTCTCTGGCCACAAACTTCTGATCCACTTCACAGATCCAGCTCGGATGTCGCTTCCTCTATTCTCCAGACTGAAAGAATCATTCCTTCTACTTTGGCCCATATGATTGAGAATATCTCTTTACCTCCACATTTATCCTACCCTACCATGAGGATTTGTGTTTGTCTCTTTCTAAACTGTGTCCCTTTGTGCGTCCTCGCTACCTGGCATAGTACCAGACACACAATAGTTGCTCAATAAATGTGTTGACTGGCTGTTGCAGAAACCTACTGGCACTTTATCTATTCCCCCAAGCCAAACCTTACATTGCTTGAAATATTGGTTTACAACGTACCCTCTGGGCATGTGGTGAAGGGGGCATCTGACAGGGTCTGGCTGTGGCTCCTGGTGCCTGGACAGACCTGGTTGCTGGGAGAAGCAGCTCCAGGTCGAACAGAGCTCTGGTGTCCTGGGCTCCGCTGGGGTGGAGAAGACCCTGGTTCTGGGCAGCCGTTGATCAGCACAATGGGTATGTCCACCATGGAGTTGGTGATGGATGGGGGGCAGCTGCTGGCATGTTCTTTGGCCAGTGGTGGACAGTGGGGTGCTCTGGGTTGGCCCATGGTTAGGGTGGGGTTTCTGGGAGCCTGGAAGTCACTGGGTCTCGTACACAGGGACACTGAGCCAAGGCTGTGGAGGCTGGAGGAAGAGCTGGCTGGACTTTCCAAGGATCTGGAAGATGATTGATGACTGGAGTTGCTGGAGTGCAGGAGGGACTGGCTGCTGCAGCAGGAGAGTCAGACAGGTTGTTAGGGCAGCAGGTGGCTCAGGGGCTAGAGCCAGGCTCTGGATCTGGTGATCTGGGTTCCCGTGGCTTTGGCTAAATAGAACACTGCATACCCCACCCCGTACAGCCCACAGCAAAGTGCACCCCCACCTAATCCTTAAGGGATGGTAAGGATACAGAAATGTCCCTGGATGGTAGGGTCTTTGGTCATTTAAAGTAGCCGATGAGCTGACCCCTGCAGGCTTTGGGCATAGGCTGGCCCCCATTCCGTCTGCCTTCCCAGTCAGGTCGTTCTGACTGAGCTGTCGGATCAGGATCTCCCCAGGCCCCCATGACTCCCAGGAGCCGTGCAGATGGGCTGGACCTACGCTGGACCACAACGTGGCTGATGCAGAGGGAATTCCCCAGCTGCAGGAGGAGGCCAGCTTCCCATCCAGCCAGACTTCTCCCCGAGCTCAGAGGCCTGTGCCAGTGGGCATGGCTGTGGAATCCCCAGCCTCTGTGCCAGGGACTGCCTTGGCCAGTGGCTTTGGAGGTGGAGTGGGAAGCAGAGTCCTGTGGTTCGGTCTTCCTGGGGCAGAATGGGTGTGCATGTGCCTGCAGTTCTGCTGTGAGGTCTATAGAGAATTGACCTGGGATGATTGTAAGCGATGCCCAGGCAGGGCATTCCCTTTTGGTTTTGGTGCATGCCCAGATTTTGCTCAGAGTAGGGTGCCTTTCAATGATTTTAGGGGATGTGTGCGTGTGTATGTCTGTGTGTGTATGTGTGTGCAATGTTAGAAGCTACCGAACCTACCTTCCAAACATGTAGCTGACATCAGACGCTGGGCTGGCTGATAGCACGGAGATCCTGCTGGCCCGCTGTGGGGCCAGGCCTCCCAGCCGCTTCTCCAGTCTTGGAGAAGCCACCAGTGGGGAGCCCAAGCCATGGGGGCTCAAGGCTTTGCTCCCCATGCAAGGGATTGAGATACTGGGGGAATTTGGGGGTTGAGGGGAGAGACCCTCTGAGGGGGGCAGAGGGCGCTGGTGCCCCCTGCCCTGGTTCCCAGAGAAGATGAGACTCTCACTGCTGCTTCGTGTCTCTCGGGGGACGTCTCTGGAAAGGAGGAGGCCACCACTGCGAGGGGAGCCGAAGGGTGGGGTGACAGAGGGGCTGGAGCAGCGTTGGGGGCCATCATGGCACCTTGATCTGGCGGAGGTCACCTCGATGTACTTTATGTCTTTGGGGGAGAAAAGCAGAGCATTGGTGAAACGCAGGAGCCTGGACTCATAGAACAGAAAGGCTGGAAGCGTCCTCAAGGCCATTCTGTCCCCTCTTTTATAGAGATGAGGAAACTAAGGCGCAGAGAGGAGAGCCCAACTCCATCTTCAGGGCCCAGTTCCAAAGTCACCCTTCCTGTGACAACTTCTCTTGGGTGAGGAGATGCCGTAGAGGACCGAGGCCTTGGAATGAGACAGACCCAGGCTTCAGATCTGGCTCTGCTACTTTTTCTCTGAGAGAGTTTGGCCAAAAGACTTCACCACCCAGGGTCTCAGTTTCCACACCTGTAAAGTGGGGCAACTGCATCCAGCCTCTTGTTGTTACAAAAAGGATGAAGTGACACTTGTGCAGGCAGCACAGCACTGTTCTTGGCACAAAGCAGGTGCTTAAAAATTGGGCAACCCTCTCCTTTGTCTGTGCCCTTTTCCTAGGTTGAAATGGCCACTTGATGGGTTGTACCAGTGATACTTTCTGATGCCTCTGCTACTCAGGGTGTGTGAAAGTGGTTTCTCTGAGGCTGGGCGCGGTGGCTCACATCTGGAATCCCAGCACTTTGGGAGGCCGAGGCGGGTGGATCACCTGGAGGTTAGCAGTTCAAGACCAGCCTGGCCAACATGGCGAACCCCATCTCTACCAAAACTACAAAAATTAGCCGGGCGCCTGTAATCCCAGCTACTTGGGAGGCTGAGGCACAAGAATCGCTTGAACCGGGGAGGCAGAGGTTGCAGTGAGCTGAGATTGTGCCACTGCACTCCAGCCTGGGTGACAAGAGTGAAACTCCATGTCCAAAAAAAAAAAAAAAAACACAACAACAAAAAAACGAAGTGATATTTCTGTACCTGCAAAGAAAGCAGGGGTTCCCAAGCTTGGTTACACACTAGACTCACCCCAGGCTGCGCCTCCTGCCAATTAGATTAAACTCTCAAGGGTGTTAACCCAGGCCTCAGTTTTGTTTGTTTTCCAGTTTTTCAGGTGAGTGCAGTAGACCATGAATGGCCCAGCAGGACCATATCACCTGGGCTCCACCCCTACGGAAACATAATCTGCATTTTAGCGAGGTCACCCAGGGCATGTGAATATGCAGTGGAGTTTGAGAACCCTGCTTTGGAGCAGGCACTCCCTGAGCGCAGGGCTTGCTGCATTCTTGAGCTATGGATCTCCCGGGGGATCGTAACTGGTACACAGGGATCACCCAACACACCCCAGGCTGCCGACTCGCTCCAGCGCCATTTCCACTCCCTGGTCAGGGCACCCGGGACTCTTGGGATTCTGAGGCCTTGTTCCTCTCCCGAGGTCAGCCTAGGAGTGGGCTGCTCTGCGGTTCTCCCTATGGTGAGGATGAACACCTTTCCTCCTGACCTGGGGGAGGGGAATTGTCCTTGGTCTTGTTCCAGCAAAGCTGGAGGAAGGTGGGGGTTAATGAGCTGCTCTTTTCTGAAGAGTGTGAGTCTTGCCTCTGGCTTCCTGGCATGGAGGCTGGGGAAATTGGGGAGAACGTGCACCCTCAGCTCCCACCTGCCTGGGGCCCTGGCACATGTACTGTTCCTCCCCGTTATGACTGTGGAGCCCCAGCCTGCCCCAGCCCGCTCCAGGGTAGGGCCATCTGGCCCTGCTCACGGTTACTGCCTCTGTCTGAGCCTGCTTGGGCCACACGGAGGGGGTGGGGAGTTACATCAGATGAGCAAGGGCTGGCAGCTGACCGGGGCTTGCTGCTCAGCGGGTGGAGGAAGAGCCTGGCTTTGTAGCAAAACAAACCTGGGGTGAGTCCTGGCTTTGCTGCTTTTCAGCCAAGGGCATTGTGTAACTTTCCGACCCTCTCTGAGCCTCTGTTTCCTTATCTGCAAAGTGAGGATCTGAAACCAGTCTTCCAAGGCTGTGATGAGGATGAAATACAATAGCCTGGAGCCCGGCCCATGGTGAGGCTCGAGAGAGGAGCCTTTCCTACCTGCCTGCTTTTTGGGGGCAGTATTGGCCAAATGGAGCCCTCTTTCTGGCTAAGGTTGGGGATCTCTCTGCTTAGAAAGATGACTGCAAGGTGAGACTCTTTGGGGGACTGTATGGTGGGCTCCGGAAGAAAAGAGATCTTGGAATGGGCTGGATTCTTCTGGAAGGCTGGAAAGCACAACTTCAATTTTTATAGGACTTTATAGTGTTTATACCCATAATCTCCTCTGAACCTCGTACCAGCCCTTGAGCAGGGCAGGCATTATTTTTTACAGAGGAGGAAACTGAGGCTTGGAGAAGAGTGGGGATGGAGCTAACACTTAGTGTACAACGATGTTTCATAGAGACTGGTTTTTACTGAGTGCAAATGTGCCGGGACCACTACGAACACATTGCTTGTATTAGCTCTTTTAACCCTCGTGACAACTCTATTGAAGTAGGGAATGCTATTAACGCCCATATAACAGATGGGAAATCTGGAAGGCTCAGAAAGGTGAAGTGAGTTATCCGATGCTGCACAGCCAGGGAGTGTTGCTAAGCTCTGTTTAGGGACTGCTTCTTCCAGGATGAGCCCTGCCCCAAGGCCTTGCCCCGTGAGAAGGTGCTTGGCTGCTTTGGGGAGGATCTCTTGGCCTGGTGAAGCTCTGGGCTCCCCATTCACTGGGTCATCTAAACATCCACCAGGGACCTTGCTGGGGGCGCTGAGTAAGGAGAGTGGGAGGGGAGGGAGGAGCCCCGTGCTCACCTCCTGTGGCTGTCCCAAGGTGGGTGTAGCTGGGGGGGGGTGGGGCTGGGGGCCTCCACCCACCGCAGGGGTGTAGTCGCTGTTTACTGGCCTGTGGGGCAAGTCTGAGCAGTGCTGGGTGGGTGCCAGCACCAGCCCCAGGCAGGCGGGTGAGTGGAGGGAGGGCATGTAGGTGAGGGGTGGAGAGACAGTTATTAAACCCCCTTCATTTGGGCTGGTAAACAGCCTTGTCTGGCAGAAATTACTGGAAAATGAAAGTGGCGGCCTGTTCCAAAGATGGGGTGGGGGACGTTGGAGAGGATAAAGGAAGGGACATGGTGTTTGCTTTAGGAACCACATTCCCTGTGGGATGGGGGCGCCCAGGACAAGTTTAAAGGAAGGCAGGAGCAGGGAACCTGGGGAAGGTTTGTGAAGCGCCCAGGAGGATGGGTCTCAGAAGAGGAGCCTGCAGGCCGCCTCCAACCTGATGGATTCTGTGATGCCCCAGAGGGCAGAGGACTAGACTTTAGAAAGAGAGAAAGGACAGTGGCCTACGGAGCCCAGACGGCTGCGGTTTGAGGCCTGACCTGTCTCTCCCTGGCTGTGTGACTGTGAGCCATCACACACCCACCCTGAGCCTCAGTTTCCTCATCTGTAACAGGAGGTTTCCACTATTTCCTTCAAAAGCCAGACACTGGGATCATGCATTACATGGACTCTTTTTTTTTTTTTTTTT